AGACCCCTCCCGCGGGCACCACCACCGCCACCTTGGCGACGGCTCCTAGGGGCCCGGGGAGGTCCCCGCGGGACCACGTCACGAGGGATCTCGATGGGTGGCCCCGACCTTGGCGGGGGGGAACCGCAGGGCCCCCAGAACCTTCGGGGCCCGAGAATCTTGAGGGGATCCCATAAAGGGCCTGTTCGAGCACCTTATGGATCTGCTTCTCTGGGGACACCGATTCCGTGCGGGAATGGTGCTGAGGTGCTCGGCAGCAGCTGGATCGGGGCAGTTAGCAGGGCAGGGGAGGCTCCTGGGGAACACTTCCATATCCGGGGAGGAATCCAGGGGGACAGTCAGGGATCCTGCAGGGAAGCTGAGGGTCTCAGATGTACTATGGAGGGCAGTTGATCTCAATTAGGGGGCTCCGGAGGGGGCAGTGGGGGCAGATGTGTATCCATTGTCCCCTCAGGTGCGCAGTGAGTGTCCCCTGGGGCAGCTCCTGGCCCGCGAGGCCGCACTGAGCCGGGAGATCCGCGCCCTGGACAGCGACATGCAGACCCTGCTGTATGAGAACTACAACAAGTTCATCTCCGCCACTGGTGAGCTGTTCCCTCTGGAGCCTAGTGATGGCAGTAATGGGAAATGGGGATTTGGGGATGCTCCCTCTGAAATCTGCTGATGGCAGGAATGGCAAATGGGGATTTGGGGATGCTCACTCTGAAATCTGCTGATGGCAGGAATGGCAAATGGGGATTTGGAGGTGTTCCCTCTGAAATCTGCTGGTGGCAGCACTGGGAAATGGGAGTTTGGGGGTGTTCCCTCTGAAATCTGCTGATGGCAGCAATGGGAAATGGGGATTTGGGGATGATCCTTGTGGCAGCACTGGGGCGTGTGGTGCTTCACTCTGGAGACCAGTGACCTGCAGTAACCAGCTTTCTCTGGGGGTTATGGCTGTGCTGTGTTAATCCTGGGTGGGCTGGGGGGGTCCTGGGCAGCCGAGGGACCTGGCACTTGGCTCGTGTCCCCCAGACACCATCCGGAAGATGAAGGTGGATTTCCGGCACATGGAGGCAGAGATGGACGACCTGNCTCCTGGCTGTGTCCGTGGCCCTCGTCCTCATCTTCTTCATCCTCTACTACCTGGTGTCCCGGGCGGGGACCTGAGCCCGGCCTGGGATGTGGCACAGGCCGGACCCCACCATCCACAGACCTGCCCACACGTTTTCCAGAGGAGCCTCCAGCCACACCTCCACCTTCCCAGTGATTTTCCTCCCTCGCCGCTCTGGCTGGGCCCAGACTGCTCTTCCAAAACAAGTTTGGCTCCAAAGGGATCTTTGTGTCTAACGGGATTTTGGGGTCATGGCTCTGGCTGTGACCTCCTGCCTTGTCCACATCCCGTGAGCTGTTCCTAAGGGCCACTTCCACATCACTTCCTTCAATGAAAACCAGGAACTAACAAATCCAGGGACTTGTGGATATTCCATAAGCCAGCTGAGCTCTGCGAGCTGTAGGATTTAGGATGCTGACTTATGGGATTTGGGAGTACCAGTGTGTGACTGACATTCCGTGTGGCCACTCTCCATTTCCCTGGGCTGAAAGGAAACCTGTGCTGTGCTGCTTTTGGGTGGAACTGGCAATGGATCTGGGCCTGGATACTCTCAGACTGTAGCAGGGAAGAGATGCAGGGGAGCAGGACTTTCATTAAATCCTGGCCTGGTTTTCTTTATCATCCTTGTGGGCAAACCGGGCTGGACCCCATGGGAAGGGAGGACCACAGTCCATAACCACACGGATTTTCACTTGTGTGGAACCTTCCAGAACCTTCCCACACATGCGCAAATTTAGATGCTAAACCAGAGTAAAGAAATCTGGTGGCAGAAGGTCCACTTAATTGTGGTTACTGTGCCACCCTGGTTTTAGAGCACTTTGTGGAGATGTAGTGCCAATAAAGCAGAGGTTGAGGTGAGGTGGAATTCCCCTCTTAGTGCTGTCAGGAGTGGAGGGAAATCAAGGAGGGATTTGCTGATTTGTTTATGCATTTACAAGGTACAAAAGGAACCCCTGCCTTGCTTATTTCCTTCTCTCTTCCTGTAACAGCCAGGGCTCAGACATTCCTCCTCCTCTGATTTAGACTCTCCAGCAAACCCTCTTCATGGATGGATGGCTGAGTGTTCCTTTGCTTTTTCCCTGTTCCCACTGGGAATTCCTTTGCCCTTGGGCTGACTCAGGTCCACAGCTGTGAAGGGAATATTGTCCCACGTACCAAACTGCTCACAAAACACACCCTGGCTGGATTAGGTGTGCTCTTTTCCACATTTGGGAAAAAATGTGCAGGAAAGGCAAGGAGCAGGGAGGCACCAGGAACTTCCTCTGGCTCTTCCTGCTTTCCTGGTGCAACGTGGCAGCTCTGGGCTCTTTCCTTTGGGAAGAACCGATGACCTGTGATTCCTGGAGCAGGTGACTCCCGATGAAAGGACCCTGGAGCAGCCCGGCCCTCACCCTGGCGGGGTTTCTTTTGCCTTTTCTGCTGTAAATAAAGCTGATTTTAGACCTTTTAGCCCAGATGTTTGTTCCTTGTGCAAGGTGCAATGTCGTACCTGCGGCCTCACAGCCCAATTCCAGCGTCACCGGGAGCCACCCCGGGGCTGGAGCGGGACCCTCGGGTGGGGTGGGGGACTCACGGGGACTCTGGGACACTGGGGAGGCCTGCGGAGAGGTGGACAGTGGTGAAAATGGACAGTGAGAGTCACGGG